AAAATGTTCAAAAACTATCGAAGAGACATTTTTTAAATAATTAATTTATTTCTTTAAAGGTTATTGAAAAAAAAATTATATTTTGTAATTTCAGAATATGATGATAGTTTACTCCATGAATACACATTGGAAGAAGTTATAAGCGTTGTCAAAGATTTTGTAGACTCCGAAAGTTTAGCACACGATGGTACTGTACAAGATTGCGTGGTAAAAAAAAACTATGATACTATATTACATATAAAAGACTTGTGTGATTGTTTGTGCTTTCCATCGGTAAAAACATTGTGATTTTCATAGTAATTGATTTAGAGAAGGACTTTTTTACGCATAAAAAAATACTAAATAACAGAACCGTTTTTGGATGATTCCTTGCCGATTTTACCCCAGAAGGAAAAAACTTAATTAAAAAAAATTTAATATTTCCTAATAAGCAGTTTACAAATTAGCATCAACGGGACTATTTAAAAGTGAATGTATCCGAGTAAGCCAATACAGTGGGGTTGAGGCATAACGGATCAAAGCATAGTGTGACCGTTTACACTCTGCAGGAATAATTATAAATAAAAATGTTAAAATCACTTTCAAACAAACGCTTTGGTACTAATTTTTAAACTGTTTACACTGTGCTTGGTTTGGACTTGGACGTGACGTGGAAATACTGATTCGCATCGAGGCGTTTATTTGAAAGTGATTTTATCACTTTCAGCTATAATAATTCCTGTACACCCTGTGACCTCCTCGTCCCACTTTGCCCTGACCCCACAGTATTGGCTTTTTTATTGTTAAAATTTAACAAAAATGCGTATGATTCTTTACAAATAAAAGCAAAAAAAAAAATAACTTGAATGGGGTATTATATTTACATGCGTTGCGGTTACTCCCATTTGGATATCTTGACTGGTTTGCCAACGTTTCAAAACACTTCCATGTTCCTTCTTCAGGGCTCAGTAAATATTATAAATAGTTTTTGAGTTTTTTATGTTTTTTAAAACTTTAATCCCCCCCCCCCCCAGATACCAACTAGATGATATTTATAGAGTTGCTTAAAAAATCCCCCATCATTGTAAAACCAATAGCATCGAAGCTAAACTCTATTGATCCTAATATGACAAAAAAACTCTTAAACTACTATAAAACTGGTGTTATAATGATAAAACAATCACAGCAATTCGTTAATGGTGGTTTTGCAAAAGAACTATTAGTTTTTTCTGTAAAATTGAATATATATTTAAATGTTTTCTTGTTGTTTTGTAGAGAAGGGCAACATCCATTTTCGGGTCACTTGAAAGTTTTATACGTTATGAAGAATTAGAAGATATAATTGGAGGGATAAAGCACGAATTTAAAGTTACCAAACACTTCCCTACTTATCAAGAACATAAATCGGCGTTATCAAGTAATTAACATTATAATATAATATTCGATAAATGCGTTGTGTAAAATGTTCATAACCACTGAAGAGACATTTAAATAATCGAGTGACCTTTTTTTTGCTGGCGTACAAAACACAAATAGAATCATGCGAGATACGCGTTCAGCTTTTTTAAAACATTATTTTAACCTTTCTTCAATAATTCAACAATTTGAAATAAAAATGTTTTGCCCATGTAACACATTAATATTGTCATCTTATTTTTTGCTATTAAGTTGGCCCGATTCGTTTGTTTAAAAATTGTTTAATATTTTGTATTTTCAGACCGCGCACACTATACTGTGGATCAAGTTGAAAACATAGTTATTGAAAAACTATTTTCGATTTAAGGGTTGGACTATATTTTTAACTGTTTTTAAATTAGTGCATGTCACATACGATTAATTTAGTTTTGTTTGATTATCTAATTATTTTGATCTTGTATTTCGTTAGTGCACTGTTTAATATATGTATAAGTACTACAGAATTATAAAAAAAATTTTAAAAAAATTAAGACATTATTTTTTTTTTGACATTGTCCATGGATATGTCTTACGGCTGTAGGTCATTCTGAAAACAGTACTGATATCATTGTGGATTATGGAGGAGTATTAAGGAGGTGAATTAATAGAGATAGTGGATTAGAGGTACTAGATTGCATATCCAAGTATTCATGTGTCCGCATGAAGTATGGATACTCTTAACTCTAAATTTACTCAGTTTGTATATGAAACTGAATTATTATTGTATATTATGTTGTTTTTTTCCATAGGTAGGTAATATCCTCTTATAGGTACAACAAATATTTGGCTTGACAATTAAACAGTACTAAAGAGTAAAATATGTAAGGTTACATTATTAATAATAACATGATTTTAAACGATAAATATAAAATGATAGAGAAAAAAAAACAACCAGAGAGTGCGTAAAACTAAAAGAAATTAATAATATAAACTTTAATTAAACTGAAAAACCAGAGCTCTTAATAAAGGAAAGAATTGCAAGAAAGACAGAAACGGGACGGTTGGATATAATTCTTTTTGGTTACTTTTAAACGGATTTTTATATAATTTATTATATCTCTAAAATTAATTAATACAAAAATAAAAATCTAAATCTAATAAGTGCATATAACTACAACTTATAAAACTTGATACTTGATAACAGATTCCTTCTGATAACAAAAGTAGGTTTTGGAATTTATTAATATAATAATAACGATTAACAATGAAAAATCGTTCATTGGATATATTGAATATTTTTTTGAGATTGAAGTTTGTTTTTTTACATAGTATGTTTTTTTTTTTAAATATGGTGAGGCGCATAAAATAAATCAGTCTTCCTGGCATATAAGTAATTTTAGAAAAGTAAAAACTCCTTGTCATCTATCAGCTAGGTTTTTTTAAAAATATTATTAAAGATCCAATATGTAACTCTGCTAATTTTTAAAAATACTATATACTTTAACACTGAACTTGAACATTTTTTTTTTTTTAGATAATTTAATTAAACAAAGTAACTGTAAACTTGAACCCTTAAGATAGATTTATACAACACAGATGTCTAACGATATAAACGATAAGACAAAACTTACAACACACTGTTCGTTTATTTTTCATTAATATTTTGTAATGAAGTGCTCGCTTTTCATTGCGACTGTACACCAATCGAATGCCTGACGACTGCAATCCTTGGGTTAATAATAGTTGGCTCGATAGTGCCCCAAAAACACTAGTTTGAGAACGCCTTCGGTCTAGAAACAGTTTAAATATTGTAAACACAGTTTGTGAAATCTCAAATCAATGATCATTTATGGTTTAAATAAAAAGCCAAGTCCAAAAAAAAAAACACTAGCTAATGAGGACACTTTGTGTATGAAAAAATATGCAGATAATTTATTGTATTTAAAATAAGTCACTGACAGTCACTCGGGGTCTCTAGTTGTGATATATGGGCTTTTGTATTAAAGTGAGTCTAGTAAAGTTGTATCTAGTTGATATACGTCAGGGTCATCGTTAAATGATCAATTTTGCAAAACACAAACTTTCCAAGAGTTCTTGTCATTATGACTAGAGAATACTAACATTACAAAACCAGAATATATATTGTAAAATTCAAATATTTTCACAAAATTATTTTAAGTATTTTTTTTAAATAACACAAGTAAAAAAAATGTGAATAAATGATTGATAATGCATTAATCTTGTAAAAATAAACCATTTTTACAAAATTATACACAAAAAACGTTAGTTTTAATCTAGAAACTAATTAATTCTTTTATCAGAGTTTAAGAAAATAGAAATAACAAATTGTGTGGTTTTAAAAAAGTTCAAGCTCAAAACAATAAAAAATTGTACTTAGTATAAAAACAAACACTTTTTAAAGTATGTTTCACCGATGATATGTTACGACACTTTTAGTTGTACACCTAAAAAGAGCATAATTTTATTATTAAAAAATACAAAGTGAAAAAAAACGAGCCGTATGGTCAATTAAAAATACTAATCCAAGTAAATTAAAAAATTGTATTTTTTATGGCGAATTAACTGTATGTAACTTGATAATTAAGTCTATTTATAAAGAATAAAACACATATTTTTACAGTATTAATTTATCATATTGAAGCAATCATAAATATGTAATTTGACAAAATCTATAAATATGTTCATGACATTTTTAAAACGTAATTCACTTAAGCAAAATAATTAATACTGTATAAGTGAATAATAATTTAAATAAAATTAACGTAAACTTATTATGTCATAAATTTAGTAGGTATAAATAATAAAATTAATTAAGAAGTCCTGCCACGAATAAAAATTAAAAATACACAAGTTTTTATTTCAAAATGTTTTACATTTTATTGTCATGTATTATTTTTTTTCTTAAATGTTCTCAACAATATGAATGTTAAAATAGTAAGACAAAAGTACATTTTTTAACTGAAATCATTAAGCAAAATGAATACAACTCATTTTTT